TGTCATCCCATGTGTAGTCACCACCTTGTCATCCCATGTGTAGTCACCACCTTGTCATCCCATGTGTAGTCACCACCTTGTCATCCCATGTGTAGTCACCACCTTATCATCCCATGTGTAGTTATCTCGACATCCCATGTGTAGTCATTTAGTCATCCGATGTGTAAATATCTTGTCAACCCATATGTAGTCACCTTGTCATCATACCATGAGAATTTGTTTTTTTAATTATTTCTACCACAGTGTGCACTGACAAGTTCCCTGTTGCCTAGTGCAGAGGGTTGTGTATAGGAGAGCAGCACATTACCAACAGTTTATTATCAGCTGTATTAACAGAAATGTATATTGATGATATTTGGAAATTTTTCAACACAATGCAAAATCTACACAAATGTAGTTCATACCTGTATTAACGATCTTACCAAGTGCTTAAGTGTTTTTAAAATATCATGATAAAGAAACGTTCCTGTTGCATCTGAGAGACAAGCAATATAATCATAGGATCTGTATGGTATGTTCAATATTGTATGTGATACAGAGATCATATATTAATGATTTTACCAGAATAGAGATAACCCAGATTACTCGACATTCAGGAGGTTCATTGTGCACAGCCTCATTATATAACTGATTGTGAACTTAAGCCTACAGTTACTTACCATGTGCAGAGAGGACATCAGACACTTTGATATTCTTATGACCAGCATTCAACAGCATCCTTTTAATAGCCTCACATTGTACTTGATACTGGGCCAAAACAATGACTTTGGACTCGGGTACACCATGACGGCTCACCAGCTTACACGCTGTAGTTACCTAGAGTAAACAAAAACATTAACACTAATAAGAGCATACTGAAATTATATAATGTACAGAATAATATCTCAACTGGTAACCAACATAAACTAGAAATATGTCAAAATGGCATGAAAGTCACCCCATCATTCTGTATGATCATTTTCAGATAAATCATTGACCAAGCTGCAACTGATATATTTTCACCTGTCAATCAAAATGGTAAACAATGACCAGGTGTAAATACATACACGCTGTTTAGGTAACCATTCCAACACATGGAATTAATAAGAAAGCATTTCGCAAATATAACGTTAGCGTTGACCGACACCTCAAATATACGGGGAGATCTGCAGGCTGACACAGTCACCTGGCATGGGCAGAACAGGTGATTGGAATATAACGATGTTGTTTTCACAACAATAAGTTTCAGAAAAGATTCACGGATAAATCTTTTACTTTTGTTTTGTTATAAAATACACTTTTCCAAGTAGTTTTCTGATCGCCTGCAAATCTGATTGAATCGGACATCGATATCAACAGAGTGTGTAGGCTTAAAGGCAGTCACTCAAACAGGTCCTACAATAACTGCCAACAGCCGAATTCGCGAGGCATGAAGAACACCAAACAATTGTGATTTCAGCAATTCTCCTTTGAAAAGAAAAGAACGGTATGTATTTGGCTGTTTTGAGCCTGTTGTTATTTATTTTTCAAACTCAAACTTTTATCATTATCGGTTCAATTCGCATGGATTGTCACCTTGTAAATTACAGCCGGTTAATGGTATCATGCGACCTTGACTCTTTGCGGTACACAAACTTGCAAACTTCGCAACTTTACCCATGTCGTTTTGACAAATTCCTACTGTCAAGATTGAATAGTTCAGCATGATTTTACACAAGAACGACATTTTAATCCCGGAGTGCTAAATACGATGCAATTCTTCGTTATGTTTTCCCTATACATGGTATTTATCAATTCACAACGTAACGTCCTGAAAAGTTTACTCGAGTTTATTTATCCAATTCTATCATATAATATGACTTAAACTTGCAACTTTTCGTAATTGTTAAATTGGCAATGCAAGCAAGGGTTATTCAACGAAATTTAGCAGTTTATTGCTGCGAGCATATTTCAAAACATTTCCAAAAATCCTCAAAAAATTAACGATAAATGGTCGCGACCAAGGACTGGATTGTTCTCGAGTATCGTGTACACCCCTTTCTTGACACTTCCATTTTCATTAAAAAAGTGTGCACTCTATGCGAATATTAACGGTAGTCGTTGGTCAGACATGAAATATCTAAATCAATCAATAGCAATTTATAATATAACAGTTTACCCCTTCAGGAACCTCAAAGGTGCCTGATTCATACTCGGAACATCTTTAGGTTATATGTAATTCCAACGTGAAATTTGAAACACCTGTAGGTTTTATTTTATTCTTGTTTAAAAAGGAAATTGATATCCGAGTTATCCAAGAGCTTGAAATTAGCACCTGGTATATTCCGACAGATGCAAACACACAAAATCATTTAACAGTGAAAGGCAACAGAGTTAAAATCTGGGACTGAAACCGAAATTAATAGTCCCCCTGGGGGCAGGGGTGACTAAAAATGTAATATCAGGAGATTGAAGCTCATTCAACATTTGTTAAGGTGATATTCTACCAGTTATGTAAACCAATCAACTGTTTCATATTTTGGGAACTCCAGCTTTAACATGAAGATTGCAACTAGGAGATTTTCAATTTTTTGTAAAGATGATTTTCAAAGAATTCAAAGTTAACATATACACATATTTACATTGTTTTTCACTCCAGTAGATATAATGCTGGAATAAAACCATTTTAAACTGGAAGTTTTCAATTGAATTTTCAATTTGTTAATATGTAAATATGCCTAGAATTGAAAATGCCTGGAGTCATTTCACTTAGCAGTATTGATTGTGTATATTTCTCTCTAGCTAAAATATGGAAATAGAAAGAAGCTTCAATAAGTTCAACACATTTACATGTGTTGGCTTCAAGCTCCATCGTTTTATACGTACTGCAATATTAACTTCCATGTTGTTAAGGTATGAGCATTCCAATCCTCTGTCGGTCTTGACTGTAACAGCTTCCTCCTTGCCTAAGACATGACAGAAAACAAATGGCTGGTTCGGCCCACCTGGCCAGATGTTTACTTTTCCAGGAGCCAGCTGTTCAACACTCCCGCGCTGTGGAGTATTCTCGTAAAAATGCTCACATGGGAAAGATGCTATTCTTTCATGCTGTAAAATAGAAATAAACACATTAAATCACATTTTGACCAAAACTAAAGATATTATTACATAATTTTTTGCAATAAAATAAGTTATAGACATTTTCACATCATACTATGGTTCACATCACTACACATATGTCCGAAGAACATGTAATGATATTTTAAAATTTCAAACTAGAATTTCATAAAAAAAGCTTCCTGGTTTCAATTTGCTTCCTGGCCAAGTGGTTAAGGCATCTGACATTCTGCTACAACAAGCCCTCCACCACTGGGTCGCGGGTTAGAGTGTCCTACGTGGGGCTGTCGCCAGGTACTGAACGTAGGTCGGTGGTTTTTCTCCGAGAACTCTGGCTTTCCTCCACCACCAAAACCTGGCACATCCTTAAATGACCATAGCTGTTAAAAGGTCGTAAAACACAAACAAACCAATCTAAGCTATTTACCTATATGGTGAAAATTACTGGTTTACGATCAACAATAGACTAGAACGAGATCCGACACCAGTTTACATTTATTAGTGTGTAGAAGACATGGGACTGGGAAACAGAATCCAGTTTTAGTAGAGTCCACTGTTCTATACAATAACATTGATATCTTTGCCATACTTACCATACGGAAGTATTTATTGAGCACCAGGGCCTTTTCAATGTATCGCTGCAGTAAAGATGTGGTAAGACCCAGGGTCTTGGCTGTGGGACTATTGACTTTATGGGGTAGCTGGATGGCATCACCAAGGATAGTAACCTGTTTAGCGGACGCATGGTGAATCACAGGAGTGATAGCTTCAGCTTCAGTACACATCCCACAGTCGTCAATTATTATCTGTGAATGAGGAAGAGACATCTACACCTTTCTGTTGTTGAAGAGATATTGCAATTTATTTTGACAATAATCCAACTTCGTAGAAATTAAATTCTTTACCTTATTTCCATGTCATTTCTGTCAAATTGGGTAAATATCACAGACATAGCCCTTTTTGTTTGTCTTCCTTTAAACATTTTTTTTTTCTCCATCAAACAAATATTAACTGATCATATATCATACATAGAATATCAGTTTTTTTCAATTATTGTCCTCATAAACTGGAAACAAACTTATATACCTGTTCTACAGCGATGTTAGATAGCTTGGCACTGGCTACAGTATCACATGTGCATAAGATGATCTCTGCCCTGCATATTTCTGCTGTCTCTGCATCAGACTTCATTTTACAGTACTCCTCTACCTGATCAGAAGAGATATCATCAGGATACATCTTAAAAAGCATGTCATACTCATTGATGGTCTGGCTGTAGGAGTTGGAGCCTAGTCGGATCACATGGTGTAGAGAGGTGTCATTTGGAGATGGTGAATGAAACTCCTCTCCCAAAGGTTTCTGTTCATTAGACGGGACAGTTGACCCAGGTATGGGAAATTCCTTCTCCTCTACTTCATCACTATACACCCTCAGTATTTTTGGACACATCTTTCCTAGATTTTTTAAGTTTGCTGAAATCAAGAAGTTCAGATTACACAATGCAGCAGATATGAACACTTATATGCATAAATAGTGGCAAGATAAGAAGAATTCAGTTAACACACAGGTCCCACCCAGTCAACATTGAAAGCAGTGTTCAAAAATCATAAATTAACTTGAGCATTTAGACATTATCTCCAGTTCTGTTGATGTATCTCTTGTTGGGTGACAAACAATTTCATAAAGTGCCATATCCTTTTGACAGCCATTACATACTGTAAATGTGATTTTTTTGCTGTGTTGCAATGCTTCAGTTTTTCACTTAATTAGCCAGAACAAAATCCTCACCCAAACATTTATTCATAGATAATATACACGATAGATATATAGAATATATATATTAATCTGATTTCAGAATTTGCCACTGCAAAACAATTCCACATTGTGATCAGTTTTAAGAGTCACAATGCCAATATTTCCACATGCAAACATTTCTACTTAAATTAGATATTGTATGGTCTCTCAGAGCCACAGCGCAACTGGACTAAAATCTCAACTTTAAAACCACAGCATATCAATCTATATTGTAAACTCAAATTTGGGAAATTACCAATACATTAAAACCAAAGGAAACAATACAAGGGGTATAACAAAGTTAATGTATTACCTCCAGCATATCTACAACTTGACATTACTTGATTTGAGAAATTGAAGAATAGGCAAAAATGCATACCTGTTAATACATCTACTGATTGGTCTGTGGGACCACACAGCAAAACAAGATGTTTGAGGCCCACATTGGCATTACGTCTGGAGAATAAATACGCTAAGTAGCTAGCTACAAGTGATTTGCCCGAGGCTACAGGACCCTGTATGGCAGTGAAGCGTTGTTGAAGGCTCATTCTTACAGCATTGACCTGGTCATCAGCAAGTCTTGGCATCCCTGTCACTAGCAGTTGTAACAGTGTTTCCACATCACCATTATCTGAAAATTCAAAATTGATTATTATTTTTAGGAACATTTTCAATGTAATGGTGATTAACTAAAGTGCACAAAATATTTGGCAGCCTACTTTCATCTTTTTAATTTTTAATCACATCAGTATTTTAGACACAGGACTTCAGTTTTGTATAATAAGATATCTTAAGAATTCAAAATCAAAGTCTGAAATACAATGTATCTACTTATAATATACATTAGACAACTTATCAAACTTACTTGTAGATCCATCCACTCTGCCACTTATGATATCATGAGCAAGCTGGGATGCTTCTGTTAGCAACTGCACAGAATATTCCATTAACCTGATACACAAAATATAAAAACTCATCATAAATATAAATATATTAATAAATTACTTTGCATTACAATCTCTTTTCTTCACTCATAATACCATGAAACGTTCTTTTTAAAACTCTTGTGGACACTTAACAACCACACAATTTTGTTCATGGACATTCAAATGCTTATTTGTTTGAATTTTGTAGAATCAAAACAATAAAGAAGCATATTATTTGGGGTCTTATAAAGGTATATTCTGTTGTATTTTCCCAAATCATTGCAAAATTCAATTGATTTTCCCCAAATCATGCTTTTGTTCATGCTATCAAGGCACAAGCCCCGGTTTAAAATAGGAAGAAATAATTCTGGACATTGTTATTTTCAAAGTTTCAGACGGACCAATCAAGGCTCTTGAGGGAATTTACCTTTTTCGTAACTTAGGGGAAAAAATTACCTATTGAAAGTGAAGAATACATCCTTGATTGATTCCTGACTAAAAAAGTAGTACATCAAGTTCTGATGTGCCTATTTACATTTAATGATCAAGTAATAATAATTGAAAACACTTTACCTGTCATGCGTGGTCTTCGGGATCCATTCCAGAGTACAGTGAAGATTGCTAGCCTGGGGGCCGAGTAACTGAGAAGGAATGGTTGAACTGCTGTGCACAAGGACAACGTTAACTGTGATATTATCCTTGACTCGACTGACTGACACTACCTGACAATGTCCTACCCAACATATGGGCATGCCGTTGTTAACTAACAATGCAACATTCTCCCTCAAGCTGGGATCATCCGCTATATCCAAGTTGTTGTATCGCACACAAACACAGTTCTGAAAAAAGCTTGATGCCAGCTTAGCATTACCTGGAGAGAATATGTCATTGAGATTGAAACTGTTCGTAATTATGAACTGACGTTCCATGCAGAAAGTTAAAGGAACTGTAAAACTTGCCACAATCTTTGAGGATCCTGCTAACTTTTCCTCCTTCCACGCCATACACAGATTTTTAACCACGACTGATTGACCCGACTTGACAGCATTATGAGTGGATTCTAATCCTAGAATTGGTAGCCATAATTGTTGGTAGGAAGCTACATTTGGGTAGGCAGTATTATCTGCTGGTGGGATACTTCTGTGGGAAAAACAAGCAAGAGGATCATCTCGGTGCTCTAAACAGACTTCTAGACTAGGAGTTAAACCCAGAAGCTGAAGAGAGGGAGTGATGAGGCCGTTATGCAAATGAGCTGACATCTGCACCTGTACAACATCGCAGGTAGATAGGGTCATTGTAAAGTCTGCATAATGTTTTATCTTATCATCAAACTTATTACCCACAGACACATCTAGCACATATCCTTCACTCTGGGCCGCCTGTTTAACATGAGGGCGCACTTGTGTAACTGCACTTTGAAGCTTCTGCATGTTTTCCTCACGAATAGCACTCAGTAACCTTTGCCATTGGAATGCTGGAATTCTGGATATGAATCGGCTAGGATTTAGTACTTCAGTAGATATACTAGATACATGCCTGGTAACCTTGGTTGATACATCATATATTCTATCTTGCCAGGTCAACTTAACACTAGCATTGTCGTTGATAGCAGGTTTCTTTGATGTATGCAATGAAGGCAGATGGATTCTGCTCTTGTCCCGAGGGATATCACCAATGGTTTGAAAGCACAACTGAATGTCATTTTGATCAAGATTCTGTATGATCGGATGTAGTACAAGTGGACGGGCTTTAAGAGCAGAGCTCAGGTAGAGGCTATGTACAGCTTTATCATACGAATCCGAACGTTGACTAACTGCTGTCAAATGTATGCAAAGGGACTGGATTTCTTTACAACTGTACACAGAGGGTTGGTCTTCAATAACAGCCGTTAAAAGGCGTGTCACTACTAGATCAACATACCTAGAGATAGGCTTGGTGAAAGAGACATATGGAGAGAGATTAAGTGAGCTATGCTCCTGGTCAGTCTCAGTAATATCACCTGAACAGACAAACACAGGTGGATTCTGGATTTCATGTAGTTTAGATAAAGCAAGCATCAGTTGTGGGTGGTATTCTGGTTCTATCACATAACTTTGGGAGTATGCAATTTCTCCTGCATCTGCTGCATGGCATAAGGATTCCCATAGAACAGTTAACATCTCAAAGGGATCTCTGGGCTTCTTTCCCAGCTGTCGGATGTAATTCATGATGCAGGTGCATGCTAACTTGCAGTTACAGGTTGATGAACCCTCTAGGAATGGTTTGGTAAGAGCTATGGAATTCACTGCATCAGCTGCATACTCTTGCATCCACTGATCTCTATCTACTGACTTAGGTCGCTTCTGACATTTCAGAGGAGTGGTATTGGGGAATTTATCAACAAGCATCTTGGCTACTTGATGATCTGTTTTCAGCATAATTTCTTGCACTATCAAGTGCGCTTCTGGGGTCAACTTTTCTCGCGTCTTAAGGTCGTGATACTTGCTGGCATTACCTAGTCTTTCTTTTCTCCATACCATACAGATGTGATAAAGGACAAGCAGACAACTCTTCAGGTAGTCAGCCCCAGCCCCTGGGTCGTTCAGGGTCTCCTGTACTTCCTGGTATGTAAACATAATCTTAGTATTGATCACAGATTTCTTTAGTTGAATTTTACATATCTCCCCTGCAGCAGAAACATCCATGTACACGGACAGTGTAAGATGATCTTCTCCTGGTTTAAGGCTACATAGCTCTGACCCAAGTCTCTCTGGGATGATGTTGACTGTGCTGTTAGGTGTACTGAAAGCAGTTCCACGGGACCTGGCTTCTTTGTCAACTATACCGTCTTTCTTTACGTAGTAACCCACATCAGCCACATGCACACCTATCCTGTAGCTGCCATCACCCAACTCATCTACACTAAGAGCATTGCTGATACTTTCAACACCAGGTGAGTCAATGGAGAATGTCCAATCCTGTCTGATATCATGACGAATCCGAATCTCATGATCTGGAATGGTATAAGTTCTGGGATATTTGCTGTTGATTTCTCCTTCCACTTCTGTTTTGAACACCCTCCTTGGAATGTTGTACTCTACATTGAGGACCTGTAAGCCTAAATCAACTGTGGTACCTGCTGGTATATAGCCCACCACAACGCCTATTGGCAAGGAGAATGTTGGGTCCCATTTCAAGTACTGAACTACAAACAGTTTATCAGATGGCTTACTGCAATATAATTCCACCGCCTCATGAAAGCCAAGAGTCTTGCTTTGTGAATAGCGATAGACACACACTAAATTGTTGTCCACATTCTCTGAATTTGTTGATGTCAAGAGGTTGTAGATGCATGGGATGCCTTGGTTTATGGGCCACATCAGACCTGTGTTATCGGCCGAGGCTGTACAAACAAACAGTCTGTTCTTAATGTCTATACTCCTCCTCAATACACCAACAACTTTGCCCTGTGGACACCCATCCACTGGTTCTGCTGCATCCGGCGAAGACAGCTGTACCACTACATCATCCATATCGAAAGCACGACCACAATGTTGTCTTGTGTTGATGATAATTTTGCTGTAAGGTAAAAGTGAATCATGGACCTCTGCATACATTTTGGACCTTGATATAACTCTCAAAGTACAGAGTTTGAACTGATTGGGTTGAACTTTCAGCAAATTTTGCAGGTTCTTTTCATTGAAGATAGAGGGATAAATTTCATCCTCTTGTTCATCGTTCCCAGGTTCATCAACATACAAAATAGCCCGCTCATCTTCTTCTTTAATTTTGAAATCACTGTAACTGACACATCCTGCTGTTTCTTTGGCCAGTTGCAGAATGACATCTTCTGCATCTGCTAAATCTTCGACATCCAGATTACTCAGGTAGTCCTCAAAACTGGTCTGCCTCTGCATGGCTGTGCCCAATCCATTCATGTGGCCATTGAGTATCTGGGCTACATTGCCAGCTGGCACCTCCCACTGGGCCTCAGTACTTGGAGGAACAGATTGCATCATGTCTTTGTCTTGATTTGAATGTTGTCTTTGCTGGCTTACAATCTCCATCATTCGGTCTTTTGCTGACGAGTTGAGTAGGTTGGACACTTGCTGTTTGACAGAATTTAGGGTGACTGTAGGAGGATGAATGCTTTTCATATTATCACAGTGCTTCAGGAACACCCTCCACACATTGACACACTCTCCCACAGCACAGAGGGCCACTGGGTCTCCTATAACAGCAACAAAGGACTGGGCTCGGGTCAGCGCAGTGTTGAGGAGTTTGGGATCTGACAAGAATCCAAAGTCACTATCATCAACTGCATTTGCTCCAGCTGTTGTCTGTGACTCCAAAATGCTGCATGTCCTAACAGTAGAGAGGAATAGGGCTCTGAATTCTTTCCCTGAAAATACAAATTGATGCACTGTACACCAAATTTCCCAGCATACATTATTTCTGGTTCCCTTTTTTAGACATACTGTTGATAAGCCTATATCTACAGTAAGAGATCTGACAAAACGAGTGTGAAGGTTAAAAACATACTTATTTTGGTGCTTTGATCCTGGCAACAAAATATAATTATTACTGACTTTAAAATATTTATAAAATATCTATTAACATAGAAAAATAACAATAAAGGTATACTTTTCCATTGTAAATATTTTCATGTTAATTGATTCTGATATGTACATGTAACTATTCTGTTTATGCAATCTTCTTGTTGGAGGAAATAAAGAATATAATAATATAGGTTTGTGTCCTGGTAATCAGTGTCTTGACTATCCTTTCAGTATACGTCCGCTAATTATTATGTCATCTCATATAACTATAATGTCCGTTTTGTATTTTACAAGAGGCCCATAGGGCCTGTATCGCTCACCTAGATATCTTAGCAATCATGGCAGAATATTCTCCAAATGAGATCCATGGGAATATGCCAGACCCCAAGGCCAATCCTTGTAGCATATATATCTGTATTCAATTTTTCATGCCCAGCAATTTTATGTATGGTTATGGGGTGGGGATCTCAACTGTTTCCAATCTGTGACTCAGAAACTAGGTCCCTATGGTTGTGGCCAGACCCCAGGATCAATTCTAATATCATGACTGCATTTGTCTCTTTTTGCCCAGCATTTGTATATATAGTTTTGGGGTGGGGATCTCAACCGTTTCAAAGTTATGACCCAGGGGTTAAGTCTGCAAGGGTGGGGCAAACCCTGGGGTCAATTCTAATATCATGACTGCATTTGTCTCTTTATGCCCAACAATTGTATATATAGTTTTGGGGTGGGGATCTTAACCATTTCGAAGTTATGACCCAGGGGTTAAGTCTCCAAGGGTGGGGCAGTCCCCAAGGCCATCCTGGAAGCATATGTGCATTCAT